CAGACTGTGTGATCGATACGGTGTATGATCAAAAATGTACAACATTGATGGAAATTTTGCATACAATGTTCATTACTATTTCTAAAACGTATTGTACGCACTCTGTGTATTTATTGTATGTTCACACTGAAATGTTGGCTTATGCCTCGTAATTTTGCTGCAGTTTTGTATTCTTTATCGTCATTCTTCACGAATTAGTGTTATGAAATATACTTTTCATATTTTCGATCATCCTTCCAATGAATGTAGTTCTATCCAGAAATTAGATTACTACTATTTGATTACAAATTACTATTTGAAATTAGATTAGATTGCAGTATTTAAGTACCAAAATAATAGTATATTATATTCCGACAACAGTACATTTCCGATATTCCAGGCGTGCTGCTGTTCGTCAAATGTCAACAATTACCAGAAAAATTATCGCAACCACCAAAGCACCCGCTGCTATTGGTCCATACAGGTAAGTATTATCAACTCTTAACAATGCCCATCTAGTTAAATCATTTACAGCACAAGTCTATCCCATACATTGGAATGTAAATGTTTTAAGGACTCATTCGAAATTATTTCATTCAAATCATTTATTTGTGGTACTCCTAAATTGATGTTTTGCATCTATCTCAACAGCCACTTATGACAAGTTTTCGACGATTGAATTTTGTTGAAAAGTATTTTACAATTAGCACAATTGTTTGTTGAGTTACTTTAATAAGATTGAGTATGACTAGAGGCTGTTGTTGATTTCATGTGCGTAGCTTTTTGCAGTCAAGCAGTTCTAGTCGATCATACACTGTACATAAGTGGATCGTTGGGTCTCGTTCCTGAAACAGGTCAATTCCCGAGTGAGTCTGTAAAAGCTCAAACCGAACAGTCACTCAAAAACATTGGTGCCATTCTGGAGGCAGCCGGCTCTTCGTACGATAACGGTATTCACTGCAAATTTTATTTGAAACTATGATGTGTTTTCTAATTCGGTGGTTTTTTGCAGTAAATTTTTAAATATTCGTTGAATCCATTTTTGGGCAGTTGCATTTATTGTAACAGTAATATGAATCATTGTGATTTATCACAAGTGTACATTGCGATTAGTCACTTATCACTTGTTCAATGGTGATGATGTGAGGATTTCGAGTGGATTGTGATTGTGGAATGCTTGATTTCTTTTGTGTTCATCATTTTCCTTTTCAGT